AAATTTGGAGAAATTTTGAGTAATCATTCAAACTAAAAACTAGAGCATTATATCCCATTCGACTTCTACCACAGTCAAAGCTAAACCATCCCCAAGTACAATTAAGTTTCGTTAAAGTTATGACCTCAATATGACACTTAGATAAACTAGAGCTGATCAAAAAAAAAATCGGATTCGTATTATGTTTAACCGACACTGCGATTACTACGTTTAACAGAGATAACTACAACAGGAATTACAGAGTCAACTACATCAGTTGCATCATCAACGACAACAACATCAGGAACAACAGCCGAAACATCATCAACAGCAGTAGCTTCATCAACAACTGTAGCAAGTACAACATCACCATCCACCACGGCACCTACAACAACATCGGGTACCGCACCAACAACTAGTACGTCGCCAACCTCAACTGGAACGCAATCGATATCAACGACAACATTGCCTGTAACAACATCAGAATCTGTCACTGGTAATGTGAAACATATTTTATAATTTTTACTACAGGCACGGTTTGCAATTATTAAAAGCATCTCAACAAAGTATTGTGAATGTTAAGTATATCATTATGAATGTTCTCGATTGCAAAACGCTTATCGCTGATAATATACCGTCAATGATAAGAATATAGTAGAGGTCAGGTTGTTCCACAAGAGCTGAGAAAAAAACCAAGGCAACGATTCAATTCAAATCATCATCGTCGGTCTGACGCCACCAATTATGGCTACACAACATGATAATGCTGTAACGAATAGCATGCTCGCCCCTTCGCCTGAATGTTTACGTCTGTCGACATACTCAGAAACAATTACACCTATAAATACAGCTTTAACACGTACACTTATGCATTCATGTATTATTCACTGCACTTACGAGTTGGTATGTGAATCATGAATAACACTTTAATTTTATATTAAATGAAATCATGCGGAAAAAGGGATATGATACCACGGAACAAAATTAGTCACGGCATTATATTCCATTCACTTTCACCCTTATCCACAGCTAAACATGCTCCCATTATGATTACTTTGTCGTTTAGTTAATAGACTCATACTGACATATCTAGTGCATCATTAAGTTCATAAGATTACACGAGGATGTGTTACATCACATGATATTGGGACAACAGAAGCAAAGTTCCAGCATTATGTCACATTCGATTGTTTACCANCGTCACCAACCTCAACTGGAACACAATCTATATCAACGACAACATTGCCTGTAACAACGTCAGAATCAGTCACTGGTAATGTGAAATACCTGTTACATGTTTTAATACCGTTTTGCCTTCATAATCAAAAGCATCTGAACATAAATGTCATCTTTAAGTTATTTTGAATGTTAAGTATACTATTATGGATGTTCTCGTTTGCATAAAAAACCTAATCGGCCAATACCTACTGTCAGTGAATGAGAGTATTATCGATGTCAATGTATTCAACAAGAGCTGAGAAAAAAATCCCTGTCAACGATTAAATTTAAAACATCATCTTACCACCAATACTGGCTACACGATATGAAAATGCTGTAAAATATTGCTCGCTTCTTCTCCTGAATGCTAACGCTGGTCAACATACTCCGAAACAGTTACAAGTATGATATCCGCACCTTAACATACATATAACCAATCCTACAATATTTACTGCATTTCTGATTAATTATCTCACTAAGGGATTAAAGTTTTGATTCACTTTTATTCTGACATGGTAAAAGTTGCATACGTTCCCGCATAACAAAAAAAATCACTGTTTTATATCCCATTTACCTTCCTCTCATCCACAGTTAAACATTTTCCGAGTACGATTATTATACATTCGTTAAATGCATGTACTCATAATGGCACGTCAACAACAGCATGTGGTTGCAGTTGAATACCAGATTTATTAAAAGTTGAAAAGAAACAAAAAGATGTGGAGAAATTTTGAAAAACAGGAGCAAACTAAAAACTAGAGCATTATATTTCATTCGACTTCTACCACAGTCAAAGCTAAACCATCCCCAAGTACAACTTATTTCGTTATAGTTATGAACTCAAATTGACACTTTGATAAACTAGAGCTGATTAAAATTATTTCTAATTCGTATTATGTTTAACCGACACCGCGATTACTACGTTTAACAGAGATAACTACAGAAGGTAGTACAGAGTCCACAACATCAGTTGTATCAACAACAGCAACATCGGGGACAACAGCCACTACATCATCAACAGCAGTAGCTTCATCTACTACCGTAGCAAGTCCAACATCACCATCCACAACGGCACCGACAACAACATCGGGTACCGTACCAACAACTAGTACGTCACCAACCTCAACTGGAACACAATCTATATCAACGACAACATTGCCTGTAACAACATCAGAATCAGTTACTGGTAATGTGATTTTTTTATATGTTTTACTACTGTTTTGCCTTCATCATCAGCATCTGAACGTACATGTTATCCATCAGTTATTGTGAATGTTAAATATACCATTATGAATTTTCTCGTTTGCAAACAAAAGCTAATCAGTCAATATATACCGTCAGTGAATGAGAGTATTATCGATGTCATTATACTCAACAAGATCTGGGATGACATCGCTGGCAACGATCGGATTTAAAACATGATATTCCGTCGCCTGTCAACAAACTCGGAATGCGTTACAACTATAAATACCGCATATTCACGTACAACTAGTCATTGATTCAATATTCATCGCAGTTTCGAGTTGATATATCACAGTCACAGCTAAACATCTCCAACTACAACTGTATTCTATCATATTGATGGACTGAAAATGAAAATATGATTTAATACTATACAGCTCATAAATATATGTGTATTATGTATAATCGGAACTGCTCTTACTACTGTTAACAGAGATAACTACGAAAGGAAGTACAGAATCAACAACTACAGCAACATCAGGGACAACAGCCACTGCATCATCAACAGCAGTAGCTTCATCAACAACTGTAGCAAGTACAACATCCCCATCCACCACGTCACCTACAACAACATCGGGTACCGCACCAACAACTAGTACGTCACCAACCTCAACTGGAACACAATCGATATCAACGACAACATTGCCTGTAACAACATCAGAATCAGTCACTGGTAATGTGAAACATATTTTATATTTTTTACTACAGGCACGGTTTGCAATTATTAAAAGCATCTCAACAAAGTATTGTGAATGTTAAGTATATCATTATGAATGTTCTCGATTGCAAAAAGCTAATCGTTGATAATATACCGTCAATGATGAGAATATAGTAGAGGTCAATTTGTTCAACAAGAGCTGAGAGAAAAATCAAGGGCAACGATTCAATTCAAATCATCATCGTCGGTCTGACGTCACCAATTCTGGCTACACAACATGATAATGCTGGAACGAATAGCATGCTCGCCTCTTTGCCTGAATATTTACGTCTGTCGTCTTACTCGGAAACAATTACACCTATAAATACAGCTTTAACACATACACCTTTGCATTCATTTTTTATTCACTGCACTTACGAGTTGGTATGTGAATCATGAATAACACTTTAATTTTATATCAAATGAAATCATGCGGAAAAATGGATATGATACCACGGAACGAAATTAGTCACGGCATTATATTCCATTCACTTTCACCCTTATCCACAGCTAAAGATGCTCCCATTATGATAACTTTGTCGTTTAGTTAATAGACTCATACTGACATATCTAGTGCATCATTAAGTTCATAAGATTACACGAGGATGTGTTACATCACATGATATTGGGACAACATAAGCAAAGTTCCAGCATTATGACCCATTCGATTGTTTACCAGTCATAGGTAAACAGTCTAAAAGTTCGGATATATGTCATATACATGGACTGTTACTGACACTTTAATAACAAAGAACTGATCAGAATACCTAGATTGATATCATGTTTAACGAAACTGCAATAAATTTGTTAAACAGAGATATCTACAACAGGAATTACAGAGTCAACAACATCAGTTGCATCATCAACGACAGCAACATCAGGAACAACAGCCGAAACATCAACGACAGCGCTGGCTTCATCAACAACTGTAGCAAGTACATCATCACCATCCACCACGGCACCGACAACAACATCGGGTACCGCACCAACAACTAGTACGTCACCAACCTCAACTGGAACGCAATCTATATCAACGACAACATTGCCTGTAACAACATCAGAATCAGTCACTGGTAATGTAAAAAATATTTTACATGTTTTAATACCGTTTTGCCTTCATAATCAGCATCTGAACATATCTGTCATTTTTAAGTTATTTTGAATGTTAAGTATACCATTACGGATGTTCTCGTTTGCATAAAAAAACCTAATCGGCCAATAATTACTGTCAGTGAATGAGAGTATTATCGATGTCAATGTATTCAACAAGAGCTGAGAAAAAATCCCTGTCAACGATCAAATTTAAAACATCATCTTACCACTGATACTGGCTACACGATATGAAAATGCTGTAAAAAAAATATGTTCGCTTCTTCGCCTGAATGCTAACGCTGATCAACATACTCCGAAACAGTTACAAGTATAATTACCGCACCTTAACATACATATTTACCTTCCTCTTATCAACAGTTAAACATTATCCGAGTACAACTATACATTCGTTAAATGCATGTACTCATAATGACACATCAACAACACTAAATGGTTGCAGTTTAATACCAGATTTATCAAAATTTGAAAAGAAAAAAAAAGATGTGGAGAAATTTTGAGTAACAGGAGCAAACTAAAAACTAGAGCATTATATCCCATTCGACTTCTACCACAGTCAACGCTAAACATGCTCCAAGTACAACTATGTTTCGTTATAGTTATGAACTCAAATGGACACTTTGATAATCTAGAGCTGATCAAAACTATTTCGGATTCGTATTATGTTTAACCGACACCGCGATTACTACGTTTAACAGAGCCAACAACTAGTACGTCGCTAACCTCAACTGGAACGCAATCGATATCAACGACAACATTGCCTGTAACAACATCAGAATCAGTCACTGGTAATGTGAAACATCTTTTATACTTTTTACTACATGCACGGTTTGCAATTATTAAAAGCATCTCAACAAAGTATTGTGAATGTTAAGTATATCATTATGAATGTTCTCGATTGCAAAAAGCTAATCGCCGATAATATACCGTCAATGATGAGAATATAGTTGAGGTCAGTTATCTTTCAGTTATTATGATTGTTCAATATACCATTATGAATTTTGCAAAAAACAAAGCTAATCAGTCAATATCTACTGTCAGTGAATAATAGTATTATCGATGTCATTATACTCAACAAGAGCTGTGATGACATCGCTGGCAACAATCGGATTTAAAACATGATATTTCGTCGCCTGTCAACATACTCGGAATGCGTTACAACTGTAAATACCGCATATTCACGTACAACTAGTCATTGATTCAATATTCATCGCACTTGCGAGTTGATATACCACAGTCACAGCAAAATATTCTCCAACTACGACTATAATCAATTATATTGATGGACTGAAAATGAAAATATGATTTAATAATATACAGCTGATAAATATATGTGTATTATGTATAATCGGAACCGCTCTTACTACTGTTAACAGAGATAACTACGACAGGAAGTACAGAGTTAACAACTACAGCAACATCAGGGACAACACCGGTTGCTTCATCAACAACTGCAGCAACTACAACACAACCAAAAACAGCCACATCGACTGTAACACCGTCCGAAACAACGTCAACATCAGCTGTGACGACATCGGAATCGACCACCGGTAATGTTATATACTTTACTCTATAATGTTTTTACTGGCAAGTTCTAACCTAATTATTAGCACCATAAAATGAAGGATGAATGTAATCAATCACAGATTTTATTAATTAAGTATATAATTGGAACATTTTGTTTCCCAAAAAGATCATCAATGTGATATGATGTAAGTTGCTTATGATATCTGCAAAGTCACTATATGCATCCAGAATTGATAATAATGTCCAAAATTTGAGACACACAATAATATTTACCTAAACTACGCCTGCTTCTGGATGCCTATCAACATCATCAAAAACACGTTAAACGGTATCGTACGATTGTGTTCACTGATACTTAAGATTCTAATTATCTTTACTTCAATATAATTGGATACAACATGAAGGATACCCGGTAATTCATTAGTATGAACAGCAATGATAGACGTATAGAGAAACTAGATTAAATGCAGTCAACATTTATGCTTCTAATACCAAATATGCAAAATCAATTTCATTCGTACTACTAGCAACGAAACAGGACACGTCTATTCTAAAAATTCTGTCTGCCTAGTATATGCGGGTATTTATCTTTCGAAATGCAGCATCGACATTAGCACGCACCTCACCAACAACTTTAACTGAAACAACGTCGGGTTCAGAAACCACGTCTGCTGCTACATCAACAACGAAGACACCAACAACGACGACGCCTCCAATATATATAACATCAACGCCTTTCGAGGAAACCTCGACACCAACACATGTGTCCACCACCGGTACATCAACGCCTAGAATTACCCACAGCTCAACCGGTGGGTTTGTAATACAATTATTACTGTATCTATATGATTAAGGGTGCAAACTATCGGTCCGTATTTCATCCTTCATAGTTCGAACTTGAACGTGTGTCACTTTATTCCCTAGATGTGATAACTTAATTTAATTGGCTAAAATAGTTTTTTAACACTCAAGGGGCTGTGATTAAATTACCAAACATCATCGTTATTGTATATAACGCTCCCATATTTAACTGACATCGATGCCAGATTTGCATTGATGTTTTCAAAGCGATCTACACTTTTTTCAAGACTGGATTATTAGTAAAAAAAAGGAGACGAAAAAATCCAGTATATATTTGGCAGAGTACCTTGTCACTACCTGAGTTCTCGATATGAGCTCGTGGTAGTACTTACATTAAAGCTTGATTTACATGGCAGGTTTCGTCTTTAAAGCAAAAGACGCGTACCCATGGGAACACATGGTCTTGTTATCCAGGTTCTTTTTTAGGGTCTTTGTAAATATATAAAGAAAATATATTTCTTTTATTTCTATTTTTCGTAGGCTTATTTAACCAATTTAAAGTTCAAACTATTGGTTTGTAGGTATTGTTGTATTTTTATTTTATCTAAAATAAGTTTTATGTTTCCGCCTTAAGAGTGAATTTAAGATTCGGGGCCTGTGGTAATATCTTTTTTTTTGTAAAAAAGCGTGCTTTGGTTGAACGATTAACGTCCTAAAATATGGTTTTATGTTAACAGGCATAAAGGGTTGAAAGCCAGCAATGTTAAGAAATTATCTTGTCTTAAACAGGAGAAATTATTTAAATGAATACTTCATTGAAGCCATCATAATGTACAGCAATCATCAGTTTTTGACGTTTTCCATAACACACCGTACTTATCACATATTGACCTGTGGATGAAGGTTCATCTTGTTTACTTACTTTATATACAACTAACACACGATAAACAGTTATCTGTTTATGAAGCATGTTAGCAAAAACATAAATAAGATACACTGAGAAGTACATGTATACATTATTAATATTTGGCATATGAGGGGCTACTCACTCTACTTGCTTAACATACCCTTAATACAACTTAAACTTGAAATTTAACATCAAGACTCTCAAAAAGACACCTAGAGAAGAGGCTTGACTTTGCCGAACTCCAGAGAAGCAACTTGACTCTTAAGTATTTATGGAGAAGATGAGAAATAGAATACTCTTAACCTAAAGAAGAAGCTTCACTCTACTGAACTGCAGAGAAGCGACTCGACTCTAAGACATGAAATAGAATAGACCTAGAGAAGAAGCTTGACTCTACTGAGCTGCAGAGAAGCGACTTGACTCTAAGTATTCCTGGAGATGATGATACATATATAGAAGCTACTGACATAGTAAATGAATAATATTTAAATTAATAAAGTATTGGGGGTAAAATTCCCCTGGAATTAAAAGCCTGGAATTAAAACCTGAGTTAAAAAATAATTTACAAATATTGAGTAGCCCACCTAACAATATAAGGAACATTATACAGGAAGAACCAGGTTTGTGAAGAAAGATGTTTTTTGAAGAAAATTAAATAAAAGTACATCAAAGGTAAATCTGGGGATGGTGGATGGGTGCGCAAAAACAAAGAATGAATAGGATGCTGTCAATATCAATACCCCTCTAGGGGATAATGCTGATTGGTCAAAACCTACCCCACTTATTAGCATAAATATATCAACAACTTGCAGAGAGATATGACTAGCTATATAGCTACGTATCAAGATGCACATGGACACAACACAGGGAATATACCTGCCAAAGCAGATATTCTTGTAATTAGCAACACAAAGAAAATATACAAAATGTACATGAACATTTAAGTGCATTTTTTAACATTATGAATGTTATACAAACTATAATTTAACATTTAACATGTCAAATTATCATTATGTCATCCATTTCATATATCTCATATTTCTTCCATTTGGTCTTAACGACATCTTTAACATTTTAAGTAAATATGATAGAAGAACCACCCCTTTGCTTTCATGATTTATAGTATTGTTATCCTTTAAACACACACTTTTGTGACATAAATGATATGATTAAACTTTTTTAGCTTAAATACTGATCTTGCTGTAAAAGTCATAAATCGAGTTATACCCTTAAAACTATTATTTTCCCATTTTTTTCAAAATCAAAGGTTCAACAACGCGATTTTCTAGTGAGGCAACGAGCCAACAATCATCTACTTCAGCTCTATCAACTTCGAGTACTTCGAGTAGCACGTCATATTCGTCGACTACTGTCGGTACAGGAGCTACAGTCGCTGAAACGACCACCCTCTCAACAGCATCTCAGGGTAAAGGATACATGTCATAAGATATGAAATGAAATGCATGAAATACAAATATGTTGAGAATAAGTTAAATGGTTTCATTACCTACATATATAAATATATTTAATTTCGATAAAACTTTGCCAAACATATTTTATAATGTTCATTTAACAGGTTCTACAACAACAGTACAACCTTCTTTCCCTACGCCTTCGGTTACTTCTACTGAAACTGAATCAACAACATCTCCCACGGAGTCAACAACTAGCGGTATGATTTAAATTCACTTTTGCTATTCAAGGAGATATCAAAATAACGTTTTAAATTATGTCGTGTGGATGATTTCCAGGACATATGAATTCACTTTGTCTATTCCCTATTCAAACGTAGAATATACGAGTTTGACAAATTTGTAGAATTCAAAATGAAAGAAAAAAGATGATAATCAGAATTCAAAATGAGAGAAAAATAAAGATGATAATCAAAACATATAACTAATATCTCATATGATCGATTTGTGCCTGTAAATGCATTTTCTTGTGGTTCCCAACTCTTTCTCAAGTATTCACTAACTGATAATACATGATCATTAAAGCCAAGTTCTGCTTTTTCCGCATGTTTCCTGCATGTTGCCAAACAACACCATCATCAGCACCTACATCATCCTATGATTCATCATAATCACCTGTTCCGACGTAATCAAAATGAAATACATGTGTTTAAGCCATGTTAAGTAACAATTTTGCTAAAGGAAATGTTTTTTAATCCAAACCTCAAAAGGGAATAAATGTAGACGATATGTGGCATTCTCCTCTAGTAGATAAATTTAATATAAAAAATTAATTGCATTTAATTCGAAATATTGACCACAAACAACAACTTAAACGTCATCAACTTAGTCTGTGACAATACCTGTTTTGGAAACTTCTACCACTGAATCAACGAAAGTGCCAACACCGCAACCGTTTATCTCAACTTCTACCTCAGAAACTATGACGTTGACAAGTACGTTTTTCACGTACACACCTAATCTTCCTCTACCTACAGTACAGCTACTGATATTACCTACCACCGTTAGGTCTGTTATCTAACAGAAGATTCCAGCAATCGATATCAGCTTGAAACGCATACACGGCTTATTCTTTAGTTGCACGGTACAACTGAAGAATAATCAGTCTATTTCATGGGTCAAATTATCCTTTCTTTAAGAATCGAAGCTCATTTGTTGGAGTAAGAAACATACTCTGGAGGGTCTACTGAAAACCCTGGGTACATATAATAAATTATATGTTAATATCCTGGGTAGCATTAAAGACAGAGTTGAAAATCAACATCAACATCATTTAATGTGGTTAGGGTATAATAGTCGAATAATATCACCCGGATTATATACAAAAAATGTCCAAATAATTATATATGGTATCCTGATTCGACAATATCTTATCCCTGTAATTTAATTCATAGCAAAGCTCTCAGAAACATTACTTATCTATTAAATTATGTAGCATTAAGAACTTTTACTGATCTGTTTATAATAGTAAACGTACAAGTCACTTACACGTATAAGCAACATGTGGTTATTCCGCATTATTCAATTAACAAACATCCTGTACATATTTCTCAAAATACACGATTTTCAAACAATATCATTTTGATAATTAGCATAATAACTTTCATTTTTAGTAACAAACAACGGATTTTTTTAACAACAATCAATTTACGTGCATCCAGGTTAATGCTGATTTCTAAACAGTTAGTACTGATACACTTTTATGGATTTAATAAATGTAGCTAGTTTAAATAATATAGCGTTATGAAGTCGGTATTAAAACTCAAACACGATGAAATTGCTAAGAAAATAAATCATGCAGATGTGTTTTATACCAATTTAAACGAGCATTAGATATACGCCATAACGTGTACCTGTAATGTTGTCAGTTGTTAATTGCCTTTGTTTCATATTATATATATATATTTCATTATTTTATTTTACAGGTTTATGTCTTTCAAGCTATTAGTGAATCAAGTTTTTGTTAAACGTACAGGAAGCTTTAGCGAATGCCTACGTTTTACCGCTGCATGTTATAAGTAATGTTATAGGATTACATGATATACACACTCGTGTTGTACGAAGTAAAAATGTCATTCTATGCGTACTAGACTTCTTTTATATTGCCCACTATTACTCATTTTATCAAAACCTTGGTCACAATTTTTCCAATTTTGAGAATACAGTTTAAACGCTATCAATAAGATTCATTTATCGATAAAGATGACAAAAATATGAATGAAAAACTCTTCCTGGTAATCGAATATGTAGAACATGTTAGGCCCGCTTCTCGTTGTGTCGGACATCAATTATACATAAATATTAAAGAATAGAAACTATAATGCACTCCAGTGTACTTTTTCTCGTCATAGAACCAACCGAAAGTAGTAGTGTTTCGACGTCTGGAACACAAAGCACTGGTGCAACACAGGAGACAAGTACAACATTATCAACAACCGCAAAAGGTATTTTTAGTAATACGTGTGATATATTATTGTATAAATTAATTGTAATTGTGTTTTCTAACAATATAATATAATTGCATTTTAAAGCCCCTCCCTTTTTTTACGAGAATGAGATACAGCTCAAAATAACACAAGAAAGTTAAAGTGTATTTGTACATAGGGCCACATCAAGGTCCATGACACTATACGTAGTGCTACGTCGCCAATTTCACCAGTTACATGTATATGTAGTTAATGGAGAGGGGAAGTTGTATTGCATTAAATGTAAAAACCTTCCTAATTGTAAAATATAATCCAAAACCCAAGAGAGAATAAATGGATTTGATTCAATTTATTATTCACATCTTTCTTAACAAAACTATTGTTATATATGTAAACGGCATATGCTAATAGAATGAAATCTAATGTGTGCTCTTCAACTGCATCATACGGACGTTTGAAGAAGAACAAATAACTTGCATATGGGGTTACCAAAATCACAATTATAGTTATCCTAAACATGATATAGAAATGTTTTCGTATTATCTCTGAGCTTGCATTATACAATATTAAATTTCTCAAAACACCTGATTTTGATTAAATTAGAGTACACCATTTTTGTGGCACATGTATATTCAAAGCATATTGTAAAAGGTCTAGCTTATCATCAATATTTAATTTATGAGAAAAAAACATTTGTGTAAATAAGTGATATCTACAAATGCAACATTAATTTCAGGATCAACTACCACAATAGTTACCCTACCGTCTCGGCCTTCAACAACTTTGACACCGACGACCTCTACCACAACAGGTAACACACCATTTGTTAATTGAATATTTTGATGTGTAAACTTATAGAATCAATGATGCCATGATATTTGAAACATAAACTTTTAAGATCAAAATCATTGTTTTTTTTTCAAATCCACTTTTATTAGTGAAATGTAAGTACATGCAAGGTGAATTTGTTATATACGGATTGCATGCTTAACTATCAAAATTGGAAGAATTATTCGATTTGTCATTTTGAAAAGTTACAATCGTAATTTATAGAAGTATGCTTTGCAGGCATTACTTGATGTAATTTATCATGTTTCCATTGCATTTGAAGCAGACATGGTATAGTTTCAGAAGTGTATTGTTGTTCAAATTGATTGGTATCTTATTGAATTGTAATGAATTATATTTCAAAGGCGAACTTAACCATGCTACACACTAATTGCTGGTATCGTAATACATGTATGAATATTGGTATGCATTTCATAAAACAATAGATGGTCAAACTATATATTAGCATGAAAGTAATTGCAGGACTTTACAAACACTACTACCTAAGTGAAACACAACGGAATATTGAAGATTGGGCCTCACACAATTAACACTATTTAATTGTATGAAAATGTTATAATGATACTTACATATATTACCATTTTGAAAAAGACAAATTGATTCATTCTGATTTGTTAATTATAGTATTAACAGCTCATTGTAGATATAATGTACGTTCATTTTCTACATTTAATAAACAAGTTCTTAGTCAAACTTGTATCATGGCATGCATAACAAAAATCATGTTTTAATCCTATTTGAAGCTGACATGATATAGGTTCACAAGTGTTTTGGTGTCTATACTCATCGCTAGTTTGTTGTTGAAATGTGATTAATGTTATTTCTAAGGCGAACTTCATCATGCTTCACACTATTTACCGGTATCGTAATACATGCATGAACGATGTTATGACTTTAACAAAACAATATATGGGCACAGTATATATTAGAATGATTGCATGAGCAAACAAACACTACTACCTGAGTGAAGCACAGCGGGATTTTGTAGATTGGGCTCCACACAGTTAACACTATGCAATTGTATGCAAATATTATAATGATACTTACATATATTACCATTTTGAAAAACACGAATTGATTCATTTTCTACATTTAATAAACAAAAAGATCGACTTTAAAAAGCAATGCTAATATAGATTTTACACATTCCTTGAAAATAAGGAATTATAATTCATGTTTATACAGTTAATGGAAGTAATATGATACTTACGTCATTAAAAGCTTAAAGTTATGTTAAAAGCACTTCATCGAAGCCGTTCATCCCGTTATTGATAAAGGATTTATCACCGTACGAATATGACAAAAAATATAAAACAAAATGCTTATGATTACATACTGCTTATTTGCTTAGCCATTCGATTCAGAGAGTTGATGGTACTGAAACTACAGAAAAATTAACCTGAAACTTCATTAAGTGATGTGAGGTACATGCCTGAAGCTACGAAAAATCAGAATCACGTAAAACCTGTGATGGTGAACTCTTTCTCGGACTTGCCTTTACAGATCTTGGTTTGCTTTCTGTTTTAGAATGCCTAGAAGACATCAGCAATTATAATACCAATAATCAAGTGTTTGAGGCGAGTGTTGGACCTGGACCTAAAACGACTATAACCCAGAAAGTGATATTAACGTCCACTTCTCCGTCTGTCACTTTTACTGTCACGAAAGAGTTTGAGGGAACTGAATTCATGGAGTTGAACTTCACAGTGTCAACGGCTGCTACCATATCATTCAATGTTGGTCTAGAACCTAGCAGTTCTGTCTCGATATCAGATGTAAGTATTTAAATGACGCATTCTGTTGTGAAATTTTTAACATATATAATATAATTGATACATGGGAACGGCATAATCTATTACCATTTTTAGTAATGTGTATAACAGAAACTATTGTATACATTTTCATTTTTTTTTATAACACAATCAATTGAAAACTATTGAACTTCTCGACATAATTAATCTCACTAATCTTAGATGAACATATCAACAAATGGGAAAGGCACACTGACACTCACAGGATTGGGAAAGAGATTACGATCGATTACACTTACCAGTAATGTTCCTGTAGAGTTATACCAAGTACAGTTTAAAGGCTGTTTCGGTAAAGGTATGTATTGTGTAGTATATTCATGTATTAGATATCTGTAAAACATTTTTTGTGGATTTAGTAAAACTTCAATGAATCATTTCGACACCAGCTATTGACAAAAGATTTTAATGTTTAAGTATATAATTCCTATTTATACTATAATATTTAACCAAAACTGATAATTGTTCTAAACATTATCATCATACCATCAAATTAGTTTTTCATTTCGAAGGTGTTTTGAAAGGGATTTATTGCTTTGTCATACGTATCAATAACATTGTGACTTTGTATAAGGTCTGCTAACACAGTAAAAATCTATGAAACTGGTTATACTGTTAGAGAAATCTCGTGTTGACTAAAAGTCAATGTAATTTAATAATAAATGTTCTTACAACAATTGCTTGTGGCATGCTATGCTTTGTAATATGTTGTCGTGCTTCAATAGATTATAATAATAGACAATGTATGAACGACCATGTAACGTTCCTCCTTTTAACAAGGAACCACAACCACCGTTCTACCAACAACGACAGCCCCGACAGCCACTACATCACCATCGACATTTGAGCAAACTTCTAGTAGCACAATCACGACACCTTCGTCGACAACAGAGCAAACCATAAGTACCACAGCTACTCCAACAACTCAGAGTGTGACCTCACAGATTACCACAACGTCAGGTGAGAACACAATATTGCGATATACAGTTTTTTTAGTCAAACTTGTATCATGGCATGCATAACAAATATCATGTTTCAGTCCTATTTGAAGCTGACATGGTATAGGTTCACAAGTGTTTTGGTGTCTATACTCATCGCTAGTTTGTTGTTGAAATGTGATTAATGTTATTTCTAAGGCGAACTTCATCATGCTTCACACTATTTACCGGTATCGTAATACATGCATGAACGATGTTATGACTTTAACAAAACAATACATGGGCACAGTATATATTATAATGATTGCAGGAGCAAACAAACACTACTACCTGAGTGAAGCACAGCGGGATTTTATAGATTGGGCTCCACACAGTTAACACTATGCAATTGTATGCAAATGTCATAATGATACTTACATATATTACCATTTTGAAAAACACAAATTGATTCATTCTGGTTTGTTAATTATAGTATTAACAGCTCATTGTAGATATATTTTACGTTCATTTTCTACATTTAATAAACAAAAAGATCGACTTTAAAAAGCAATGCTAATATAGATTTTCCACACATTCCTTGAAAATAAGGAATTATAATTCATGTTTATACAGTTAATGGAAGTAATATGATACTTACGTCATTAAAAGCTTAAAGTTATGGTAAAAGCACTTCATCGAAGCCGTTCATCACGTTATTGATAAAGGATTTATCACCGTACGAATATGACAAAAAATATAAAACAAAATGCTTATGATTACATACTGCTTATTTGCTTAGCCATTCGATTCAGAGAGTTGATGGTACTGAAACTACAGAAAAATTAACCTGAAACTTCATTAAGTGATGTGATGTACATGCCTGAAGCTACGAAAAATCAGAATCACGTAAAACCTGTGATGGTGAACTCTTTCTCGGTCTTGCCTTTACAGATCTGGGTTTGCTTTCTGTTTTAGAATGCCTAGAAGACATCAGCAATTATAATACCAATAATCAAGTGTTTGAGGCGTGTGTTGGACCTGGACCTAAAACGACTATAACCCAGAAAGGGATATTAACGTCCACTTCTCCGTCTGTCACTTTTACTGTCACGAAAGAGTTTGAGGGAACTGAATTCATGGAGTTGAACTTCACAGTGTCAACGGCTGCTACCATATCATTCAATGTTGGTCTAGAACCTAGCAGTTCTGTCTCGTTATCAGATGTAAGTATTTAAATGACGCATTCTGTTGTGAAATTTTTAACATATATAATATAATTGATACATGGGAACGGCATAATCTATTACCATTTTTAGTAATGTGTATAACAGAAACTATTGTATACATTTTCATTTTTTTTTATAACACAATCAATTGAAAACTATTGAACTTCTCGACATAATTAATCTCACTAATCTTAGATGAACATAGCAACAAATGGGAAAGGCACACTGACACTCACAGGATTGGGAAAGAGATTACGATCGATTACACTTACCAGGAATGTTCCTGTAGAGTTATACCAAGTACAGTTTAAAGGCTGTTTCGGTAAAGGTATGTATTGTGCAGTATATTCATGTATTAGATATCTGTAAAACATTTTTTGTGGATTTAGTAAAACTTCAATGAATCATTTCGACACCAGCTATTGACAAAAGATTTTAATGTTTAAGTATATAATTCCTATTTATACTATAATATTTAACCAAAACTGATAATTCTTCTAAAAATTATCATCATACCATCAAATTAGTTTTTCATTTCGAAGGTGTTTTGAAAGGGATTTATTGCTTTGTCATACGTATCAATAACATTGTGACTTTGTATAAGGTCTGCTAACACAGTAAAAATCTATGAAACTGGTTATACTGTTAGAGAAATCTCGTGTTGACTAAAAGTCAATGTAATTTAATAATAAATGTTCTTACAACAATTGCTTGTGGCATGCTATGCTTTGTTATATGTTGTCGTGCTTCAATAGATTTTAATAATAGACAATGTATGAACGACCATGTAACGTTCCTCCTTTTAACAAGGAACCACAACCACCGTTCTACCAACAACGACAGCCCCGACAGCCACTACATCACCATCGACATTTGAGCAAACTTCTAGTAGCACAATCACGACACCTTCGTCGACAACAGAGCAAACCATAAGTACCACAGCTACTCCAACAACTCAGAGTGTGACCTCACAGATTACCACAACGTCAGGTGAGAACACAATATTGCGATATACAGTTTTTTTAGTCAAACTTGTATCATGGCATGCATAACAAATATCATGTTTCAGTCCTATTTGAAGCTGACATGGTATAGGTTCACAAGTGTTTTGGTGTCTATACTCATCGCTAGTTTGTTGTTGAAATGTGATTAATAGAAATTATGATTTATTTATATACAAAGAATAGTATTAATTTGTTACTGACGTCAATAAAGGTTATAGTTATGTTAAAAGCACACCATCGAAGCCGTTCACTTTATCAGCGATACAGGATTTATCACCGTACGAATATGATGAAATATAAAGAAATGCTCATGAATTATATACAGCTAGTTTTCGTCGTCATGCAGACGACCTATGATACTGATGTATTTGCACCTACATTTTGTCTATAATAGTTATATGATTGCAATCAGATCACCTTAGAGTATATATAAACTCTTTAAAAATGATGTGCAAGTTTTTGCGCATATCAGTTGACCAAAATGTTGAGGAATCACTCAATACATGCAACCAGGCTTCTTCTAGTGGAAATGATCGACCTTCAGAATAGTAACGCTGATTTAATGCCTTCTCGAATTAAATGAGATGAAGAGGGTGTATAGTCTTTGGAAGAAATAATAGATACACTGTTAACAAACCCTTTAAACCATGACTCAGCTGACATTGTCAGTCTGCCTAGAGGACTGGCCGTTCCAGAGGATGCTGTCATATGGATCTTCTAGTTGCTCTCTTCTAGTAACAGCTCAAAATTGAAAGGCCGGTAGGAGAACATTGTTTGCAAACCGTGAAATGCTGTGCCTTCCGACAACAGAATATCACGAACTTGCTTTAGATTATAAAATGTTAAACAGTGAAAGGAGTATCACAAGAAAACAAATAACGTTGGTCGTCACCCTTACGCAAGGGTGCATGAGTATTGTATGCAAGTCCCATTGTAAATCGGGGGCTTTCGTTTTTCAATCACAAAATGAATGCAGTCTCCTCTCGTTTTGTTTTTTGTAATGGATTTCATTTTTCAGATAAATTCGCAAAATCACTGGATGTACGAAAGAAGGAATAACGTTTTTCTTTTTTAAATATTATGCTATTATTATGTTTATGAACAAAGTACTTTGTTTGCAAAGTAAGCTTGACACAAAGATTAACTCACTTCAAGCATTTTGTGCTAAAAATCAAAAAAATAAAATGAGATTCAATATTCAATTTTAATTAAAGGCAATATAAATAACAAAATAAATAATTATCTTAACGTAGCAACATACCAAGACAGGACAGAGTCGAAAAATATTTACAGTACAAAGGAATCATGAACAAGGTTGGAATCCTTACTTTATATAACATCAATCAAAAGCTTTATGAAATCAACGGCTCGTATGAATGAGTTATTAAGTGCATGCTCGTTTACATTCTATACATGCAGAAACAAATGTTATGTCGAAACATATATTAACAAAATCACTTTCCTTATATCAAACTCCGATTAAACATTTATGAGTAATTGCATTCATTTGTAGCATCGCCAACAACAAGTTTAGTGTCAACATTCGAGTCTGTGACAACACCTATTTATAAAACTACGTCCTCTTCTACCTCACAACCAACAACGACCGCCGGCACAACACCTACCGTAGCAACTTCTCCCTCAGAAACTATGACATTGACCACAGTGGTCTCTACTGGTACACCAACACGTACAACTTCTCTAAACACAGTAACTGGTATGCAAAGTTTACAGTCCGTTCTAGCCAGAAGAGAGTTAATTTCTTACCATTCTCTGTTTTCTACGACCAATGATAGGTACACACAATATGTAGTAGATTTACATTATTAATATAGAGGACACATTCTTTTTCATTTCAATCTTCCTGGTTATTGAAGAAATAGCACATGTTTAGCTTGCTACTCGTTGATTCGGACATGATTCATATATTTCTATATATGTAAATATATATAGATAACAGACCAGTCCGCCTGAAGAAGCCCAATGAGGCCGGAAGACCTACCGATGCTGGAAACTTGGTTACATCTAATAAGCCCATGTATAAGTTTTGGGGTCTTCAAAGTTACACGCCAAAACTTTTGATTATATTTGCCTTGTTGTCGGGATTAGTCAATCACCGACTCTGCGTGGTATCACGTGGTTCTTTTAAATATTTTTTCAAAACAAAGCGCCCACGCTTTTCGATCAAGGCACGAACTACATCGTTATTTGTTTAATTAAAAATTTAATTTAAATTTAATTAAAAATCTAACAAGTTACCTACGTGTCTCGGCCTTTAACAACTACTGAGACACCAACAGGTAACACAACATTTTTTTTAATTGAATAATGTGTAATTAACTTACCGCCTTTTTGTCCAATAACCTTTCTTTCAAAATAACGACAACCACCAGCACATATGAAAGTAAATACTTCTCAGAGTAGATCAGATGATACTATTAAAGAGATAAACTGCGTAGATGTTGCAAACATGCTGGTATTTACTGTTACATATGCCGCAGACATATTAATTGAGCGCCATATGTAATTAGGATTTGTGCTTTTCCGTACAATTCCTAATTCCTCGTTGTTATGGGCGAAGCGAAGTTAATAACGAGAACATCAATTGCGGACCATCTGGCGTTTTGAGTCGTTTCCAGTACAAAACAATCATATCTTATATACTGGCTTTTCATTAAAAACATGGATGGATAATTATCCTGCGTCGAATAAAAATCCTTGGTATGTTTTAAATAATGTTCATCACCAACATCAACAAACTCACTAGGTACATATATTTTTCCCTTTCAAATATCAGATTTATCATGGGATATCGAGTTTTAATATCATTATGTTTGCATACAGAAGGGAACTGTGTCTCTGTAATCAATCCACTGTCATCAACGTCATACGTAAACGTCTTAAGGTGAATCGCTATCAGGGAACCAGTTAAAAGGGACGTTTACATTCTTTTTTGAATAGGTACAACTTCTACGAATCCACCAACAACTACTCGTAAGTATCTTGTTTATTTTGCTTCAGAAAAGGAAGGTCCTAAATCAATATTCGTGTCAGAAAATATGACATGTTCGATTCTGAGTTAGATGCTGTAATTTTGCCTTGTGCAGATCTATGATATTATTTATTAATCATAAAATAGCGATTCCAGACCGAAGTACTGCGGTTGAATTGTGTAAATGTAAAGATCCAATATTACATCAAGTGGTTGAGAAATGTCTATGGTAACTTATAAAAGAAGGTGCCTCCTTCATCAGTTTTTATTGTTCACTTTGGTTTGACATCATCGCAGCATAAAAGTTCATACACCGAAAGGAAATCGTTGGGAACTGAGAAGAGACAGAAGATTAATTTCCAAATATTGAAATTGGCCAGGTGGATCAACTAAGATGCTTTAATACATTGTATCCGCTTGCAAAAGAAAAAAAACCAGTGATACCCCTTATTCATCAGAGCCCCTTGCCAATTGCCTTTCATGACAATGTGAAGTGAAGTTATAGTATTTGCATGGTTTATATAACTAGCGTTGACAATTGTGACACCTTCCCTTCCTGCTGCTTACGTTTCGAAATATTAATGCACATATGATTTATACACCTGTGAACAACATATTTTTTTAGGTGTATCTTATTTACTTTAGTTAATACTTTCAATAAAGAATCTACAAATATAATAAGTATTATATTATTTTATCTTTCAGCATGTGAGCATAAATTTATCAAAATGAGAGACAACATGCAGAATATTAAGATTGAAATCGAGGGTCAACCACAAATGTATGCGGGAACAGCCTTAACAGGAACCTTACAACTAGAAAATGAAGAAGAGACTATTACTGCGAAACTGGTTAAAACTGCAAAGAGTGACAATCCTGTGTTTGATGTTTCTTTCAAAACTTCTTACGTACAAAATGTAACAGTTTCACTGCAAACTAAAGCAGGAAGCCCTTCAGGAAAACCACAGGTATGTTATAAGCACTATAGTTGGTCGAACGTTTATACATTTGTATGATTTACCGTCGATATGAAGTCACTTCATAATTACATCATTGTCTACAAATTAATTCAGTTTTGAATACTATAAATACAGTGAGTTTTTTTTCTCTGTTCAACAAATGTTTTCTTATTTCTCTCTGTTGAAAGGTAAAGACGCTTCAAGGTAACGCCAATGAAGATGTTACAGTATCATTCAACGGTGCAGACGGCTACCAGGTTGAAATAACTTTAACAAAGGCGTTGGACAAACCAGAAAAAATGAAAATTTCCCTGTTGAAGATAGAAGCATGCTTTGAATCAGAGGGTAGGCATACTTATTTTGACAAGACCATTTCGAAACAGTTTTACACTCGCTGAATGAATAAGGCTTATGTGATCAACAAGAACGGGAGACGCTAACGTTTGACAAGTTGTTCTGATAAGCTACCTAACTGCCAAAAACGAAATATTGGAAGTGTTGCGTAACATTTGAAGACTAAGGCGGACATTATGACAATAAAAACATTTCATAATTATTATATCATAAATAGTATTCCATACTTATCTAGACTAAAGCGGACATTATGACAATAAAAAACATTTTTTAATCATCATATCATTAAAAGTATTCCATATTTATCTTAATTATTATATCATTAAAAGTATTCCATATGTATCTTAATTATTATATTATTAATAGTATTCCATATTTATCTTAATTATTATATCATTAATAGTATTCCATATTTATCTTTATTATTATATCATTTATAGTATTCCATGTTTATCTTAATCATTATATCATTATTAGTATTCCATATTTATCTTAATTATTATATCATTAATAGAATTCCATATACATCTTAATTGATATATCATTCAAAGTATTCCATATTTATTATGGGAGAATTAAATTCATCTGCACGGTTACGGACGAACTCGGATACGAATATCCAACAACCAGCAGATTCAACCACCATGTTACATACAAAAATGTCTAAAGAGCTTGTCCAGACCATCTCTTAATAGCTTCCTTTTTAAAGCCATATGTCTTGGTTATAAAAAGTCTAACAAATCTTAAAAACCAATAAATTGAGAAATAGTCATCCCATTTTAGTACGTTAATTTGTTATTATTAAACAATATCTACCTCGTGCAAGTGCATACGCCTGACACCAGTTTGCGTTAATATGCATTTGCAAGGTTTCGTTCGCTTTCACATAATATTATTTGTCATAACAGGTGCCATATGTGGTTTACAAGTCTCTTTCTTTCAACTGCTTGGTTATTGAAATCTGTTCATTTTGCTGTTTGCTTGATTTATAGAGACATTTTTTTTCTATTTCGTTTCCAGCGTGTTCATTTACCACCGTAACAAATAACAACGCTGACGACTTCGTATCAGTTAGCGATACTAATGGAGAAAGTGTTCCGTCCATATTTCTTACTGGAGATATATCCAATGTACCACGTTCTAATGGCGGATCAGTCATGTTGCTATTGTCATTATACGGCGCAACTCCATATACCATATCCGTATCTTATGCTGCAATTAGCTTCACTCTGGAATACAAATCTCAAGAGGTTTTCGTAAGTATTTTTTTCATCTCATATGTTAAGCTTGTAAAGCCATAATTTTGAAACAGTATATCAAAAACAGAAATTATATATATCTGCATATTGATAACAAGGTTATATGTGAAAATGTTCCTTTTAGTTCGTTTGTATAATGCCTCGTTTCATTATAAATGATTTGTAATATATTGAACATTGTATTGACACAGTGTAAGAAGAACAATCTTAAATGAAAATATATTTTTTTAATCTTTCTTAATTCAATATTGCCAACATATGTTAAGAGAATATAAAAACAAGCTCTCAGAAAAAAATAGAGGACTGTCTGGTAAAAGCAATATAATTCAATATTCAAAATTAATATATACACTTATCAGTTCCATAGTTAGATAGTGATTATGTGAATGCTGTATAAAAAAAATGTTGTCGGGTCAAAAGGGCAGAGTTGGGCGAAATAAGACAACTATGTTATTTGTTTTGTGGTCCTTTACTTATTGTTGCTATTGTTATAATAAGCAACTAAAACATATTTTGTTTTGATCTAGAGATTTAATTGGATAATATTTCTTTTGAAAAATCCTATATTGTTATCTGCATTATGTCATTTGCTTAACTTATAGTAATGAATGATCATCGAACTGCTTCTCGATACTTTTCTTGTTTTGTTTTCTTGCAGGTTGCGCCGTTTTCAGAGAATGAAGAATCCGTAGATATTCATGTTGATGGCATATTAAGAGATGTAGACTCATTGACAATAGTTATCAGTTTAACTTATGGACAGACACCTCTATTTAAGATAGATAAACTAATTGGATGCATGAAACAAAAAGGTGATTTTGGTGTAATAGTGCCTTAGGTTTGTCATGTATATTCGAATGATTACTTCGTAACTGTAGTTTATAGCTGTGAAACAGGCATCCTTAAATATGATATTTTAAGTTCGGAATAGTTAATGTTTATGGCAAAATATTTTTTTTTTTATCTTTTTATCTTCTATATATGTCTTTATAAGCTATATATGCATGCATATGTGTTTATTGTACTCTTCCAGAATAGTGAGTGTCCTTTATATTTACATACTGAAATTATTATCAAATGTTATAGGTGTAATTATATTGTGTATCATACAATTGTTTTGCAACAAAGATACGAGTACTAGACAATCGCGTAATTGTTTCTAAGCTATTACAATTGATGTGAATCACGATTGTAATGCACTATGAATGTGTTCATATATATTGGTAGAAATGTATCATGTTGCTTAAAGATCATTGTATTAATGGAAAAAAGGCTTCTTCTATAAATGCGTCAAGGCATGATACGGATTGAGGTTTGTTTTCGCGGTTCAGGAAATATTGGGCGATGCATGAATGACGATGTAACGTTCTTCGTTTAAACTAGGAACCACAACCACCGTTCTACAATCAACGACCGCCACTACATCATCGACATCCAAGCAAAGTTCTAGCAGCACAATCACGACACCTTCGTTGACAACAGAGCAAATTACCACATCTCCAGGTGAGACCACAATGTTGTCGAATACAGTTCCATCCCTTTTTGAAGCAGACTTCGTGTTTTTTTAGAAACGAACTGTTGTATATGCATACATGTAGCAGTTTTCCAATGCAATGATCTGGAACGGATTTATATATCGCAGAGTCAAATATTTAAACCATAGAAAAGTGGATTTTTTGTAATATTTTATGTAGGCAATGATCTTTAGGTCAATAGTGCAATATTCCTTGAGTTGACCGTTAGTGTACACAAATGTGATATTTTTAGTACATACGACATCGATGAAGGTATTTTAAGAGTCATTTAATATTTTGCACTGTTTATTTTCCGTGATATTTCCGCTTGTAATTCCTGTAATACTATTGCACACAGTTATATTTGGTGAAATCTTCTGAAGTTCTGGGAGTAATACAATATATATAATAGTTAAGACTTCGTATAGCCAGCATAAATGCTATGTTTTTGGGATAGGTGTATCTTAGGAGTACACTAATCAACAGTCCGTATTAGTTTAACAAACTGGAAAAAAGACTATTCATAATGTTCAATATCACACTCGACTTTATTTTAAGTTTCTTTTAACATTCAACCTTTCAACACTAGATACATTTTACTTTGTGTTATTTGTCTCCAGTTCATTGTTTCAAAATAGCAGCTGTGTCTATAATGATCGCTAGAAATTTAATACATGCTATTTGTAAGGTGCACTTTATCATACACTGAAAGAAGTGTACATAGTCTGCCTAGGCTTTACACTTATTGTCGTCATAGAAATAACAACGAACTGTAGTATACATTGAAGAATAACTATCAATGAGGGATATAATAACATATAAATTGGATTTACAGTTATTAGGCAGACAGAGTTATTTACACACTACGACATGAGAAAACAACAATGGGATGTAGTAGTTGGAGCCTCTCACAATTAATACCATATAATTCCAAAGTCGATTTCGCGCTTTACTACAGGTTCTGTGATTAGTTAAAAGCAGTACATGTTACCCAAAAACAGCTGTCAATATTAGTATGAACGGCTGTTTTTTCCATGGGACTTACTTTTAAATGTTTCAAATCCCCATTTTTCAGTAAGCAATTTAATTGTCGTTCGAGTTGTCACCCAATGCCTAAACTAAACTCGCCGTGTTTATCATTATTTTTGTTTTGTTTTTGTATCTTTGTCTTATTGTTTATTTTTAGTATGATAAGTTTAAAAATAAATTATGTTAAACTACAACTGACCCTAAATTCACAACAGTGACACTTTGTGTCGTCTAACGAACCGACGATATCAATATGACAAAGCTCAAACTGACAATATACATATTGGTCCCCATAGTGATAACAATGGTGACGATATAAGGAATTAATCTGCATGTTTCCAATATTAGTAAATATCAACTGAGGTAAATTTACCTACATATACATACTGCATTATCCATGTATTTACACGAACCTAAACTAAACTCGCCGTGTTTCTTTTTTATTTTTTTGTTATTGTATCTTTGTCTTATTGTTTATCTTAAGTATGATAAGTTTTTAAAATAAATTATGTTTAACTACAAATACTTGCATGTATTACAAATTAAAAACAATTAGAATACATGTTTTCCTCTACCAACAAAACCTGGAACGTCCTAAAATGGCCATAGCTGTTTTAGGACGCAAAACACACACTAACCAAACCAAAACATCAGGAATTATCGAATCCAAAAACGAATAAGGAATAACAACGTTCGTCATTAATTAAAAAAAATAAACATTCTTTAAAGTACAGTAAAGCCCCTTAGCTATCAAATGATACATTTTTTGCTTAATTAATTGTTTACACGCAGCTTTCCAAATATTCTTGATGCAAAAGGTAGATATGAAATATGGACGCAACGATGACTCTCCCTACGCCATGAAGCTTAGTACAGTAACGCACTTAATTGACAAAAGAGTTTCGCATCAACTGTCAATTAAAGCTTGCTTAAATGAGAATCAAGCAAAAATATTCATTCGCAAGGAATACATAAAACGTCAGAAGATTGGGATGTAAAAGAAGCAAAACATGAATAGCTAACGAATTGATTGTGTACCATCTGATGTTGCAGATCAATGGAATAAAAAGATAAATGTCAATGACAAAGAAGCAAAACGTCCCCGAACAAATTCATTATCGCATCAATAATAACTTTTGTTTATTGGTCCTACACCGAAGCAGCTATTTGTTTAGTCAGCGTATTACATTTTCGCCGACAAAATAAGGATAGGAGTAATACTATTTTGCATTTATTTTAGTCATCAAACCGTACATAGTTCTGATAAAATGTCAAATAATGTCGTGTTCTTAACTTTAAAGTCGCCAAAAGGAATGCTACGGAGACAGAATTGAAATAAAGAATAATAACCTTTTGTTTTTTTAACAACAATTGCTTTTCTCTTCCCATTCAGAACCCTCAACACCGTCAACGACTTCTGGAACACAAACAACAACTTCCAGGATATCAACAACGACCTCTATAACCGGAACGACATCTTCAAAGACAACAACACCGACGTCTGGAACAACAACGACGTTTGGGGTTACAACTGCTTCATCCGTCGTACCAACGTCAACTATCGTGACAGTTACACCAACATTACATACTAGCACTGGTATATTTTTTACATAAATTTTACATATTAGATGAATATATGGATGTTCGGATAAGATTAAAATTGCTCCGTTTCCATCTCTTATCTTCTTTTGATTCTGACCTAACTTTTCTACATATTCTTAAACTCTTTGCATGATCATGTTTTTAGCCCACCATCATCTGATGGTGGGCTATTCAAATCACCCTGCGTCCGTGGTCCGTCGTCCGTCCGTTGTCCGTCGTCCGTCGTCCGTCCTTAAACAATTATTGTTATCGCTATTTTTCAAGAAGTACTTGAGGGATCTTTCTCAAATTTTATATGCAGGTTCCCCCTGGTCCTTAGCTGTGGAGGGCAACTTTTGAGACTGATAGGATAAACAACATGGCCGACAGGCAGCCATCTTCGATTTGATAGTGAAAGTTTGTTATCGCTATTTCTCGGGAAGTACGTGAGGGATCTTTCTAAAATTTTAAATGTAGGTTCCCCTTGATCCCTCGTTGTGTATGTTATATTTTGAGACTGATCATAAAAACAAAATGGATTAAAAGAAGAACTAAACAGATCTTTCTCATATTGCAATGATCGATTCTATTTCTTTCACATTAAGTACTGTACTAGTAAATATGTGAAATGACAAACTCACTTTGAAGGTTGGCTTTCATACACATCAGGATTAAGTTTAGATCAAACAGATTAGAGGAAAGAAGAGAAAAGGTCGAACTGACGAAGAACTAATGAAGATGGTACAATAGTGGGCGCCAAGAACCCTCCTGGGATCCTTTGTTGTTCATTAACATGTTTTGTTACTTTCTAATTGTTTTTGTTACATATGTATCTGCTCCAACTCGAAAGCTGTTGTTACCATAATTCTCCGTGATAGAAGCATTTTTTTTTCTCTGCACTAATAATTTAATATTTAGTGTTTGCCTGCAACAATATTCCTATTCTATGTAGACTATTTGAATTGTGTGTGTACTTTTCCCTTTGTTTTGTTGCTATGTTATATTTCATATCTGATGTTTTTTGATAACTGCTGTGATACTGTTTTGCTGTTTTATATTGATGTTTTTTATTTCTAGTTTCAGCTTTTTTGTGCTATTCGAGATAATATATAATGTGCTGTGTGTACTGTTGACATGTTTCACTGTTGCGTTTCCATATGCTATGATTTATGCATGTATGTTCATTTAGTCAGTTTCAGTTATTAATCTATAACTAGTATTATATGTGTATATCTTCTGTTTTTATATTCTGTATTTCCTATTAGATGCTATTTGTAACCACTGTTCGCCTGTATTATCGTTATTATGAGGTTTAGAGCTTTATATATAATGTTTCTCTGTTAACATGATGTTCTTCTATAATAAACATCTTATGTTTTGTATTGATTGTGGCCATTTTTCACTATTGTTATTCTATTTTTAGATTCTGATTTTTTTTGTATGTACTATTGTTCTGTTTATGTTCTGTATTTATGTATTTCAGTTTTGATATTTTTCTATATACTTTGGTCATGTTTAATCGTTGTTATTCTTTTCTTCAGTATTGGCGATTCTTTTACGCGGATTCCATTCATTTTAATTAAAAAAAGGTCGGGATTTGTTTTTCTTTCTATACGATACATCATTGCGTTGCAGTTGATTGCGCGATTTGCCGTTGAACTGTTTGTTTCGCTCTCTTTCGTGAACATATGGATTTGGGTCGTTTCGAAACACCGGAAAGCAGGTGATCTCGCGAACACAAATACAATATATTATCAAGATACCAACATACAACTGTTAGCATTGCTTTTAGATACCTTTAAACACTACTTACATCTACTTGTTATATGTATCTCTAACACTATCACACTTTCCTGTCATTTTCATTTTTGCTCCTCATTCATACTCTTATTCGATATCTTATAAGTGTCATTATACATATATAAATATACATATATATATATATTTCTTTTCTGAACAGCTACTACGACAACTGAAATAACAACAACCGTAGGTAAGTCGATTAACATATTCTTAGTTAATTTCATCTGTTGACACAGCTCAAAGCCTAACAATTTATTGTCAATTTGTGTGGAAAGGGCTCACATCTTAGTATTAGCTAATGTCAAATGAAGATGGATATCAAGAGAGACATCGAAAAAACAGTTTAGAACTAAGGGCAAAAATACAGATTCAAATGGGGGAAACATATCTTTTTAATGCCATTTTAGCAGAAAGCCACGAATGTGGAAGGATCAAAGCATTACTCGGCTCTAGCGATAATGTTCGAGGGTTACAATAGGCTCGTCCTTTCCCCAAACAAGTAGGGAGTCAATGCACCAAAAGATGCATGTAGATATCGAAAATTATTTCAATAAAATGATGCAGTAAATATTTCGTGAATCACCTTTCACAATGCCAATTTCTTTCCATATATATCACAATTTAAAACAATAGCAAGTCACTTAAATATGTATATGCATCATATACAATAGCAAGATGTTTGTTATGATGTACTGCCCATCGGGAATCGAAGGCATTTAAACCAAACAACACTTAATTAGATGTTAACAAAAAAGAATATATTAAACTTAAATTCAAAGTTCAAAATTATAAGATATCTTCTTGTTAAAAGGTGATTGAATGTTAATAATCACATGTAAATGACAAATTATCTGTTTGAAACAATGTCGTTGTATTTCTTACAAATTGACGACCTCGTTTTGGAAATGCAAGCATATACAATATAGGTATGGTATAGCAACTTCTTCTGTGCAGTTACCTCTACTTATTGCGCATGAAACTACATAAGGTAGAATTGAAGAATAGATACATGTAATTATTCAGATTTTCGATATCGCGTTATCTAGCCTATTTACAAAGGAAAGAGGTTATCAAAGGGTCTGTTTGATACAACAGTAATAGAATTATATTTTGTTTACTGAATTGTTTTGTGTTATTGTATATCCCATCGACACTTTAAGTCATTTATGGCAAAACATCACTGTACAATAACGTTACCAAATAGAAATACATCAAACAAACACTAAACAGGTCAAAAGTTGTAAAGATGCTGAACTTCATAAGCAGCATACGGATAGATTGTAAGTTATATCATAGCATGTTTTAAAGATTAATGAAGTGTATATGATAATGTCTTAATGGCAAAAATACAGTATCAAACAAACTTCTCATAATTGGTACATTTCTTAATTTGTCGAACAAATGTTTGAAATCAGCTAATTCAATAAAATATTTTGGGTAGAAATTGTTGATACAAACATGAAAATAGCGTGTATCTTCCTTCGCAAAATATAAGCACAGATAATGTAGGTATGGTATATACGATGTCGCAGAAGGACACAGTCTACGTTAACCCACATTAGGATTACACATTACTTAATTTCAAAACAAATATTATTGTTTTTTTAACATTATATAGGCTGCCAAATTGGGTGAGATTATCATTAAAGCTGCATCTTTATGCTGCGAAATAAAACCACTAGTTCTGCAATTGAACCTAAGGATGCATTCTCAATTACTCAAAATAGTCTGAATAGTTAGCATTCAAAGTTTCTTAAACGGCACATTATAACATGCAAATAATATAATTTGAAGTGATATTGAATAATGCAATCATGCTATGTGCTTATAAGGTGGAAATATGCCGTAAAATATCAGATTGCAATAAATTGTTTTGTCACGTCGCTAAAGCGATACCTATAATAACTCGTAAAATGTTGCTATGACGTCAACATAAGAGGTGCCGATGTTATGTAATATTTCCTTAGCAGTATACATGTATACATAATTTATCATATTCTTATTTGTAATAATACAAAAATCTAAAAATCTTGATTGATTTCTCACTTGTCTATATGGTTGTGTATTTCACAGCCATATTGCTTCACTTTAAATGTTGAACATTGTTTATACACAAAACAGTTTTGTGTTTCGCAAACACAAACGTGTCCGAAAGAGGTAAGAGATGGAAATCCTTTAAAATATCACAATTTGTACTGAGTAACTTAATATATATATATGTTTCCTTGATCTACTTTTAGGTCAGCAGTATTGTGACATGAATTCATTGTCCCTACAAGGCGAAATCAATTATTCGGCTTTTGAACCCAGTGCAAGCACTCCTTTGGGATATTATATTCAGGATGGTGAAAGAGTACTGGTTGAAATCGGAGATCAAATTGAAATAGGAGAAATCATTCATTTTTACTGTTATAATTGGTAAATAGATTTATTTGTTATATATCTATTACTTCTTTATGTTAAATCATATCTTACTGTGTACCAATAGTTCTCAAATGAACTGTATCACGCAATGATTTTTCTTCAACCTTTAGTGCATTTTCCCATAGCACATATACTTTCCTTTTTAAATAAAGTAATCAATGTATATTTAGCTTTATGCATAGCCTTATTTAAAGGAAGCTCTTACAAAGTTAAGTCTACTAAAAAAAACATTCTTTAAATTTACAACTTGTAATAATACCATATACAGAATATAACATTATTGTCATTCCTTTCACGCTTACATGTAAGAGGTTTTCTTTGTTATTAGTTTTATAAACCAAGTGAATATTCCGAAAAAATCGGTAAGATCTAGCCATTCTCAGGCAATTACATAGAGGCATGTGGTATACACAGTAGATTAAATCTATTTTCTAAACACAGACATATATATGTCATAGTTAAACAATCATAGTGTGTGCTACATGTATCTGGTGGGCAGAGACATGTGAGGCGGTTAACCAATACTTCTGTTGCATTTAAGTAAACTATTGTTAAATTATAATGCGCACTGCTTCCTACTTCAGAATTCACGCTATATTCATAATTTCTGTTTTAGTACATGCGCTTCGTCTGGCCAATTTGAATGCAGTGAAAAATCTAATCCTTGCTGTAAGTATGAATTAAGTGTGCGAATTCAATCGCTATATTAACATATGGACGATGAAACATTTAATCAAAATTCAAGGAAAAAAGATGAACTTGATATATGTTTAGTTTGGTTAAACAACAACAGCAACATTCCGTTTCGGCTAGGTTCAAAACACGGGCTATATATTTTCCTTAAACGCTTTGTCTTGTTCCTTGATATGTTACGTAGTATTAATACTTAACATCGTCCTGCAGAAGATGCGTGACACATTATCCTTCACTCATGATAAATTCATCACAGTAAGAGCAATTCACATTGGAAATAAAATGACGCATTTCACATGAACGGTTTTCATATATTATTTAAATCGGAACATTAATTTCCTGTCATGAATAAATATTTCGTCCCTGAGTAGATAGTATGTCTATGTTACGGATCTTTGATATTGTTTAGTTTGTGTTAACGTTGATTTGACTGCGTCCTTTACATTATAGACCAAAATATTGTGCAATGTGTCATTATTGCTTCAAGAAATTAGAGTAGTACTTTTATTTTCATAATTGACTTAAAATGTTATTGATATTATATGCATGTCGCACAGGCAAATACTAATACAAATATTGCAAATTTAAACAGATAAATAAACACATGGTCGGAGCTGAATAACCTTGGTCCAATACGAAACTTCTTTACCAAAATAACGTAACGTTTACATAAAAATAATACAATGGATCAGTCCTCTATCTTTTTACATATATGCTTCATAACCACGGACAAATTATCAACAATTAATGTATGTATGTAATTATCTAAATTATTTTGATCCAACATTCCATTAAGTTCACAATTTCATAAATAATACATTGTTTGACAATCTGACTAATCTAACATTATCCGTGGGTATATTCCCAGTACGTTGGTTTTGTTATTAGTTCACTTATCGTGTGTGAAATAACATTGCGTTTTTACTGTTCTTATCATGGAATTTTATTATTAGCTTGCAAATACTTTCCATGGTCGGATTGGACACAATGTTCCAAGACATGTGGAACTGGTATACGTCGCAGAACAAGACAACTCATCCCTGGATATTATGACGAACAGTGTGAAGATGAGGAACCGAAAACAGAGGAGTGTACTATAAAGAATTGTGAATATACTAGTAAGTTATCACTGCAAAACGGAAAATCAGTGATATTACAATTGCAATCCCCACTGAATAATTTTCAGATCTTGCTACATGTATTACTTGATATTCACAAAGTCGGCAAAACTTATATTGTCTTTCCGGCCAACCATCATCAAATGATGGACTGTTCAAATCGGCTTTTTTCCGTGGTCCGTTCGTCAATCCTAAACAATTTTTTATCCTTATTTCTCACAAAGAACTGATTGGATCTTTCTTGTATTTGATATAATGGTCCCCAATGGTCATTATTTCTGCATTTTTTTATGTAGAGAATGATCGAAAAAACAAGATCACGGCCAGCTATTTATCTTAGATTTTGACAGTAAAATTAGTTATCACTTTATCACAAAAAGTAAGCAATGCTCTCACTTTGAGAGGACACTGTCAAGCTTAGCTGTCTGCATTTTTTTTAAAAATACAATACGTGTGTTCTGCTGCAGAAAACTATAAATGCAATTGATAACAGAGGACAAAAAATCAAACCTAAATCATAACAAATTATTCTTTTTCGATGATGGACGTTGGGATTGCTTTTGGATCTGTTGTATATTTATAAAATATCTTATTTCTAAAACTCATCTCTTCTGAAAAAAATGCAATGCTTTTATAATGTTTAAACTATATAAACATATCAGCATATAAGGTTTAATGTGAGCGTTCATTTATATACAAGTTATATCAGTTATTGTTGTCTTGATACTTAGCTACGCCACCTCCTTGGACTCCTTGGACTCCATGTAATGCCGCTGATTGTAAAATTGGAACGCAAACACGAACACGGTGCGAATCCAACGGGATCGACTGTAAACAGGAAAGACAGTGCAGTCAAAACAATACAGAGTGCAGTATGTTTACCTTTCAAACTTTTCTCGTAAATAGACATTTTTCTAATTTTTGAGTATTACAATAGACGTTGTCAGGAAATGAGGTGTAAGAAATAGTATTTGTTGTGAGTTAAATAAAAAACAAACATAGCATGCAAACAATTCCGTTGTGTATTTTGCTCAATGTAAATATATCATCATAATGTACCTTATAGTCATAAAAGTAAAATAAAAATATTAGAAAATAATGCATCAGCTTGACCTATCAAATACATTGATTTCTTATCATTATATGCACATGAACAAAATCAAAACATTAGCAGTTAAAAGAGAAAAAGAGAATAGATAACATTTTCTACGAAAATATCTTTTTATATTATAATGTACTTGTCATTCGGTTCTTAATATGGTGTTTGCTCTATTAACTATTTATTTTCATGGTAAACGATAAGTGTATCCCACCAACCAATCAAATCAACGTCTGCAACATGATTCATAATCAAGTTATCATAACCTATTGTTTTGACTATAATGGAGATGCATTATGCATTCCATCATAAACTGAAATGTATTTACTGCAACAATTTTTTTTTTTTTAATCCGTGGACTATCTTTTATAGGTTGTCCTGACGGAAAAGTGTACACGGAAATGTGTGACTATGCATGTAACAGCACTTGTAAAGCCTACAGGTCCACACAATGTGACGAGAGTGAAAATTGTGAAAACATGACTTGCATATGTAAAGAAGGAACTACTGAATACAATGGCGAATGCATCAAGTTCTCAAAATGTCCATGTTTTGATGATGATGGAATACCAATGCCCCAAAACACGACGAAGAAATACAAGGAAACCTGTCAAGAATGGTATATTTGCCTTAATTAAAAGTAGAAACGTGTTGAATAATTGTATTGTATTGCAGTATAGATTTTAACAATGTTTTTATACAATGAATGTAAGACTGTTTAAATATATCTTTGTGACGGATGTTACTGATCGATTTTAAATAGTTGATCTTTCATGTTGGCAAGCAAAGTTTTATAGATTTAAATGTTGAGTAGCAAAACGAAACCGTGTGATAAGTGATTAACTGTATCGAATAGTATTATCAAAGTATCTTATCAATTTTAAAGTACGATTATAACTAGCTTGATATGGACTAATGGTGCCAATAGTAAATCAGTATTGATATTATGATATTTTTATGTTACAAAAAGGGTTTGGAATGCATTAATGAGCTGTAAGTTTAATGATTAGTTTCATGTAATCTGAAAGAATGAATTCGATGATGGGAAACATATCAGATCGTTTGATATAGTGTACATGTATTATTATAATGTCTGTATTTATGGCCACAGAATAGCTCTTATCATATTTTCAAGATTGTATAGATAAGATTATGTAAAATGGGTATAGTTATTGGATAGCATATGGTAATTGCTTACCCACATGCGTTTTGATCGTTCAACATAATACGCATTACTTTAACGGAAAAAAATCCTTAAAATTTCACAGTTAATTTAGTTAAGCTACCGTACACATGTTTCTAATGTTTAATTTCAGTACCTGTACTGAAAATGGAATGGACTGCCGAACAATGGAAGATTGTAAGTCATACATTTTTTTAGTACGCAAAAACTTTACCAAACCAATAATTAATATATGTTTTATTATACAAATACTTGCGTATCTGTTTAAAATCGACACTATCAAATGTAACTGTACGGCATAGTCGTAGGCAGAATTGCTTAAGACTATTTATGTTGCCAAATTGGTTTATTAAAATTTTGTCATCCACGGTTTAAAATCAAAGTAAGACAGTTTTACAGTTTTAAATCTTCTTATTGCAGGTGAAGTGCTGTTTTAGTAGTTCTCTATTCTCTCCCATTTTCAGTTATTTCGACATAATCTTGTATCTAAATAAAGGTTATATAACAAAAAATAGCAATCCTGTTAATACATAGGATATTAAGTTCTCTGTAAGAAAATATCAAAGTTCCCATTTTAATACTTTATAGTACGGACAACAAGTCAGAGCTGTAACTTGCTTATTCATACAATTGCCTCTAATTGTTTCTAAAGCCAGCTAAATTGCAATTCCTTCAACTTGGAAACATTTTCCCAATGAATATATATATGAATGGGTATTATTCAGCTCTTGATATCATTTTAGAGATTTTGTAGAGGAACACCGTAGAAACCTGCAACTTGTAGAGAAAGTTTACAATTACGGTGGCGGTGAACTCTTCACATGTCATAGCAGTATTATGTAACAATGAATGTCCCGTACTTTCGAGCATGAACTACGTCTTATTTGCATATGACTAGACAGGTCATGGTCTGTAATAACTGTTTTGTCTATCTGGAATATATCATAGGTTGTGAACACGATACCTGGTCAGAATGGACTGAGTGTTATAACAATAAAATGTGTGGATCTGGATTAAGAACACGCTACAGGTATGTCGTTTAACAGAAAGCAAATGTACGTATGCTAGTGTGATACAATAAACTATCATTACGTATATGCTATAGTGGCAAACAGCGGGGTCACAATAAGAATAAACATTGGTAAGAAAAGACAAAAATTAAGAAAATAAGATACTCTAACTGAAATGAAGTATTTTAATAGCAGATGCAGAACACTTAACGATGTATCCGTTAAGGGTTAACCCATTTTCAATTATAAAACAACTCCTTCATACAGATTATACAAAATTTGTCTACTATTAACTAATGCTTATTAATAAATTACTAATTATTATTAAAAAGACGAAGGTAAACGTGAGGTAGAAAGTTAAGTTGGTCATGGCTAGTTTTATGTTCTGGAACAGACCAAAATTTTTAGGTAGTATAGAATTGTTTATAAATGTACTATTTCGAAGAAACGATTTTCTATACATGTAGGCTTTAGTATCACAGTTGATTCATCACTGGGCGAACAGACAAAAGGGCTTAGAAATACGAATTTCTTGTCTTATTGCATTGATTGTAAATATGTACATATCGATTGATCATACCACATGAACGGAATAATGATGCATGTTATTGAGAAACACGCTCATATTCCTCTACATCAAAGCAATGTAGCAATAGTGGTGTCTTTTTTAATTGCCTAAACATCACAAAGAGCATTCACATTGCCGCTTATCTTCGCATGTCTAGTCAGTGTTTATTGCGAAAGACACGAAACTATTGCACAAACATATAAAGTCAACCAACTATAATGCATAGAAAACAACGAATTGTATGTGATTGTATGTTTTTAACAATTTGTACAACGTTAAAATTCAGGCAAGGTATTATCGAAAACAACCACATAAATTGATCGTTTGGTCGAATATAGGAACATTTCACGTGAAATTCTGGTTGAGTAGCTACATTGTTTTTGCTAAATAATGGAGAGATGTTGTATGGCATACGTATAATTATAGATACAGAATGTGAAATTGAATGTTTAATCGTTTTATACTTGCCCATCACTCTTTTTGCTTTACTATATAGGTGTTGTTAATATTTTTATCCAAATCTATTACAGCGAAGTGATTTATGGTGACTGTGAAAAGAACACTGAAAGAGAGGAATGCATTTTGCCAAATCCATGTGGACAATGTGTTTATAATGGCGTAACATATAACGATACCGACGTTGTTGAAGAAGACGAACAATCCTGCATAAAGAAGTTTGTATATTGTAACAATAAGCGAACACAAACTTTTTTATTATTTTTTATATTTTTTTACATGAAGTTGGACTGTTGCGTGCATGTTGTGCGTACCAAGTGCTACCGAAAGTGAAAATGTACCAATAATAGATTGCATACATCTGAGCCCATTACGGACGAACGAAATGAACAATTTACGGAAACGTTTGAGTAAATGATAATTTCATTTCCAATCTACCTAAAATTGGAAACGATTTATAGTGTGATGTCATTTTTTAATTTTATCTGTTTGTTTTGTTTTAGATTTAATATTTTAATACTTTTTAAAGATTCAAATTCACTAATAAAAATGGTCTCTGCCTATTCATATACCTAATATCCTGACTTAATTCGTGACCGATTTCAGGCATTGCAATATATTGTAAAAATGCATTTTAGAATGGGATGTTACTGTATTTTTTCTGTTGTCAGTAGTCAAACGTTTTCACAATACTCATGATATTCGGAGATAACTCTTGAATACTGAATTTACTGTAACATCTAAACACAATATAATGTGGAAACAGATGTTCAAATCAAAATATATCGAAATCATCCTTAAGAATGGAAATTCCTATTCTCTGCTATTTGAGTATTTAGGGTAATGGCAACAACTGGGTTATCGGATGCAACACAGGGTATTTGGTAGAATATTGTGCTGGGTGCCACTTTCATTAAAATGAGGTAAAACTCTAAACTCAGCATCAGATCCGTGCTACCATAACTAATGCACGCAAGGAAGTACGCACTTACAGTACCTATGCTGTAATATGAAGATATAAAAAGGCACGCTTAGGTCCTTCTTTTGGTACAGCTTAGTAGGTGGTGATCACCTACAGTTAACCTTATTTCACATGTCTTTTGGTTTGTTTCTATTCCTTTAAATTCATCAAGCGATCGTGCTTAATCAAGTTATACGCGCGCAGTGTATCAGGTGCGTTGTACAATTCCACAACTATCAATATGTATAATTATCAGTGTTATTGGTTGCATGCGCCTGACATGTAAAAAATAGACATAAGCCATAAGAAATCGAACATTAAATGTGATTACTAAGGAAGCATTTTCATACAAAGATAAAAGAGGATATTTTTTTCTTATTACAGAATATGCATCAATTCGAGTGTTGAAGACGTCCCACTAGATGGAAGTAAGTCATTATAATACATGTAACGTTATACAAAATAATTAACACTGATATCATGGTTTCCTTAATCCCATTAATATCGTTAAGTAGATACGATCGAATTGTCCACCTTCTTATCAATATCATTACTGTTGTATGCACTTGTTGGATTGAACGTTATGCAGTACATGTCGAGTTTTATAGCTACTGACAAATGTGGCTATTGTTAGTTTTGTCTTTTGGAATAGAGCTGAGGAGGGTTTTGACATTTGGTACTTTCTTATGAAGAAAACAATCTTGTTGGCTGACAGTTAATGCATTGTACATGTTATAACAATTGTTTTACTGTAAATGGTTCGTATACCCTTGAGGGTGGCCTTCGCGCCTCAGTAAATACAATCGAATGGTCATTGGTTATTGCTTCATTTATTGCACAATGACAGTAAGTCTGATTTGTTTCGAACAATACACTTTCTAACTTAAATGAATGATAAAAGGGAGGGTACATTTGGGTCATCCCTCTTGATCAGAATTCTACATTGTGAAAATTTAGTAACGAGAGTTAGATAGACATGATCAACAACAATCACCTTTCTCTCCTTCTCGTAATAAAGACACTTTCTTTGTATACGTGCAATTTCATGGATAGCATCAAATATGGACAATATTGGAAAAGCGTCACATTTATACCATATGCATTGTAAAAATACACGTTCAATCTTTTTGACATTGTTAAAAAGTACATGAACATAGAGCATTGACAATTTAATTTTGATTCGAGGTTTAATGCCCAACCATACAAAGACATCTTACACTTTATTCATTTATATCAAAGTTGATGGTGCATTTGGATCATGGCTTACGTGGGGTCCATGCTCTGCCACAATGATGAATTGCAATGGAACAAGAGCGCGACGTAGATCATGCAACACCCCATCACCATCATTATGTGGCAAGCCTTGCGAAGGAGATTACGAGGATATAGAAAGCTGTTCCGCTAATATTTGTAAGTGTGACATTATGTCAGACTAGTCAGACAGTAATTAAATTCCTGTATCGTGTTGAATTGAATATCTCTGTTTTAACAATAGAGGCGCTATGTACTAATGAGTATTATTTATGTACGTTTTGCTAGGTTGTGAAGTAACTCCATGGTCGACCTGGGAGAACTGCTCAAAGCCGTGCGGTACAGGGACACAGACCCGAACACGTGATCTTGTTAGCCCCTCTGATGCAAGCTATTGTAATCTAGCATTAACGGAATCAGACCTATGTAATATTCAGAGCTGCGAGAGTAAGTATTATTTAATAACACACGAACTGTTATGTGACAAAACTCCATTTAAACAATATCACTCTTTATCGTTATTCTGTCCAATAACACCACTTGTGATCACTAACCGTACAGATACAAAAGGCTATATCATAGTTCAGTGACCAATTAATTGATGCTGGGGTGTGTTATCCGTTATTTTCGACTATTTAGGTAACACCATGTTTGTAAACCATTTGAGGGCAAACGGTAGTGTAAATCACTACTATAGAGTCGAAGTCATTGTTTTGAAATATAATTGTGCCCGCTGCTGTTATTCCCTGACAATGGAACAGCCACAGTATCTTACCTGTAAGCATGTACTGATTACGTGGGTATCTATTGGACAGACAAATGGGCTAGATTAATTGACAGGATTAATTGCCTTCACACTAGGTGTTCAATACCTGCTACGTTGGTGTGGGGAAAAGTAGACCCAGGGGAGGGGACGGTGATTGGGAGATGTATTTTGGTAATTCAACCATCAGCATGAACATTTACCTGACGTGTATATGTATATTACAAAGAAATCGAAATCAGACTAACTCAATTTGTTTTCCAAATTTTCTTAAAGAAGGCAACTTGGGATAAACGAAGTTAAATTAATTACACATATTTAACGTGAGTTTTACCTTTCATTTGTATAGTGCCATGCCATGATATAAGATTTTTCTGGAATGAAATCTTTTCTTGATTTGTTTGTATACATTATGCCTAAGTATTAGATGGAGCTAATTAAGCCATTGGCCTTTATTATAAAAACAAATAACCGAATTATTCTATTGATGTCGTATTATTGAGAAACCTTTCATCAAAAGTATAAATAGGAATCTTACCACATTTACCCATATTACATAACAGTCAATGATCCCCCATCCTGACACTACCACATTGCTATAAAACGTGATGTGAAGTTAACTATGACGCATTTTACTTTTAAACCTTTTCCTCTGAAATAATAAAGCTATATCTATTTATTTTCTATATTCACCAGATATAGTGTACAATTTCTTCTTGTACATGTATATGTTCAGTTGAATTTTTATAAGTAATCAGAAAAAAATATGTGTATCGAAATTATGAAATATTCAGTTAAATGAACTTTCCTCTTTCTTACAATTTTCATATCATGGAGGAACCCATTTCATTATAAACATTTATTTCATATGTACTTCACTCTTTCAAACTTTGGTTAACACTGTAGTGCACAGGAGTAGAATCGTAGTGCACTGGAGTTAACATTGTAGTGCACTGGAGTTAGCATTGAAGTGAACTGGAGTGCAGATTTTGGTGAAAGATTTTATTTAGCTGGAATCTTAAAATAGTGTGTATATTAACCATGTTTCATGTAAATCCATAAAACTTCCGCAACGTTATTGAGCGCAAATCTCCAACGTATTTGAGTGCAGCATGCTCATATTTGATTAATTTGTATTGTGAAATATTGACAAAGTGTCGTCGGTATCTGATCCTATTTCAATATGATTGTGTGTGGAGACCGTCAACTAATCAGAGGGCAATATGCCAATAAATTATTCACTACATATTTAGCTATAGTCGATTAGGTTTTACATGCTTGCCACGATTTATCAAAATTGAAGTTATCTGATGTAAACTAAAGTCTAAACATGAAGGAGGACGTTTAACACAGCGTAACACGTTATTTGGACCATCCTATAAACATGACAGATGACTGAATATGTATTATTTTACATGTTTGGTGATTTTTCGTCACCTACTGTCGCATTAAAATACTCCTTAGTATACTAAGTGTCCATTAAGACAAAAACATATGTTCGAATAGGATTGATGTGTGAGAAATCCGTTTTCAGATCATAACAAAGTCAATAATATTCGTTTTCTTTATGTGATTGTTTAGCTAACTGTACCGTTTCAAACTGGAGCGATTGGACACCTTGCAGTGTAACTTGTGGATTAGGAACCAAATCAAGATATCGCAACGTCACTAGTGAGACAAGCGATGACTGTCCACACTTAACTGACAAAGATGAATGTTATCCTGAAGATTGTGGTAAGACAAGTTGAAACTATTTTAGCGTTCTTTAGATGTCGTTGTTGCTTTCTAACGTTCCCAGAACGTGCTGCATATAAGTATGTAACACTTTTGTGATGTTTTATGAAATGTTCAATATTCAACGACAACGTTATCAAAAAGAAGAACTTAACCAAGGAAACAATCCTTAAATCTCAGTATATGTTGTATCACTTAAAATATTTTGATTTCTACTCAAGTTTGATTCAATGCAACTACCAAATGTCACCTGTTTCATTTGCCCATGAAACTGATCAGATAATTACCTGTGCTTATGAATAAGCCTCAGAAAATATTATACTTAAACGTATGAATTTTACAATATGTTTTTGTGTATTGTTTCTACATATTTAAGCTATATTAAACTATCAGCGCACACCATCAAGTCTTTGTAAAGGTCCTTCCATTACGGACTATATATTTTTTACATTACGTCAATACGAAGACTTGCACAAGCTCAGGAATATGGCACAAGCTATCAGAATGGAATTTTATAAGTTCCAATTATTGAAAACAAAACACATGTTGATTGAAAGTCATTCCTTAAATTAATTGTTTTATATAGAATGCGATACCAACGAAGCATGGACTAACACATCTGGTTGTGAAAAGACCTGTCAAAATAGATATGAAGATAACACTTGTGATCTCGGACCTCCTAAATGTGAATGCAAGCCGAACTTCGTAAGAAATGACGACGGACATTGTGTCGAGGTTCACGAATGCAATAACTGTAAATATGGAAACGAAACGAACATAACGGTATGTATATTGCAAGAATCCAAATGTTTATCGCCAAAATATTAATTGATGTTTTTTGAAAATTCAGTGCATCAACACTAAATCTGTGCCTGTTTTTCAGTAACCACATTCTCATTGTTAGTCATGCTCATGTTACACCATCATATTAAAAACACATATGTATGAAGCAAAGAATTTAGCTTATTCAGTTTAATATCAATGTATGAGTGTGCTGCTGTAGTGGCATTTCAAATAACATGATGTGCTTATTGGAAATACGCTACTTACCAGAATCTCCATTATATGTGCATTGTGTATACATTTTCTTTTATAAATTTTAAGCTTGGCATAGGCTTGTCTTATTCCGTTTGATATTATTTACACGACAGTGGTCTTTCATCAACTGTGTATTGATTTGATCAACAGGAAGGTGAAGTGTTTGAAGATCCTTTGGACAAATGCTATACATGCATTTGTGAAGCTGGAGAAATCAAATGTAATAAGAAATGTAATGAACCATCCGAGTGTTTAGAGGTAAGTTGTTGAAGACAAAAGACATATTAATACTATAATCTATAACAGTTACGTAAGTTCCCCAATCGACATGTGTATATAATCTTATGTATAAACTACAGTTACATGTAATAGAAAGTGATAAAATACAGCGTCACAATTTCAAGGATAAAATAAGTTAATGCAAGCAATCAAAACAGGAATCGAAATGGCATCAAAATATTACAAAATGCATCATTAACCCCTGGAAAAATAACTTTTGTAATTAATTGAGAATAGTACTAGCAACGCATAAATACTTGCGTTTTCATATTTTGTACATTCCAACATGTACATGAGAGAAGATTCAATCGAACGATATTTTTGTATAGGGCGAAATAAGAGTGATGGACGCAAATGGCTGCTGTCATGTATGCAAGAAAGGTATGTGTTACTTTGTTTCTTATGTAATGCATTTCATGTTATTCCCACAGTGTACCAGAAAGTCCAGATCTAGTTACGAACAATTGATCTTTGTTTTTTTCTATAAAAATGGCGATTGTTATGTTCCAACTACTGTTTACCTTTCCTTCCGTGTCATCGAATCCAACGAAACACAGCTGCTCAACGATTTTTCCCAAATCCTAATTTAAAATCTAAAATATAGACATATCTATCCCTGCCTGTTTTGAACGTTTGTTTCAAATGTGGTATTATAACTTGTATATACAAACATCAATATTCACATTTGAAACAAACGTTTTGTAGGCCTCCACCCGAGAAGCAAATGCTCTTACAACAATATTTGATTAGGTTTCGATGTCACTGTACATGTTCGATTTTAGCTACCAGATCTTTGTGTGTATAACATAATTCAAAGACATAAGTATGGAGATAAGCTGATACATAACATGGTTTGTCCATTGTGTACTGTAGTTTAAAGTATAATACGTTCAAATCACATGTAGAATGAACAAGCGCAATGGCGTAAAAAGAAAGCAAAGAAGCACATGTATGTGGTTTCCCTTGTTGGATCACCTTATCGAAAATAACGAAAAAGCCTATTGACCCTAAATAAAACTTTTATGAGTGTGAATAATCTAAAGCATGAAATATGGCACTGTATGCAGTAACGGCCACACAAATCAGAGAAGGGTTATTAGAATATTCACCAACAAAACGATAAGAAGCACCAATAAATGAGTATGTCGATGCTAAGAGCCAAAATAAACATTTTTACTGTATCATAAGGTTATTGTATCCACTTCAGACTCATCAGTAGTACTAAAGGTAAATAGAACAATTAGGATAATTGTCACAGTCATTTTTGTCAATGTTTATGTAAATATTCCAATTAACTCACATTTACTGATATATCATAGAAAAAATATTTAGTACAGTTTAATGGGGTGACATGCAATAACATGTTGCATTTTCTATCACAGACACATGCAGTCTACATACAAAGACAGAGACACTGGTCGACATAACATACGGTGGATTTAGCAATTGTTCAACGGAACAACCGATCACATATGCCTACTGCTCTGGTGGATGTGGTGATAGCACTCATTTTCCAAAGGGACTCGGATTGCCATCGGAGTGTAAATGTTGTACATCTGTGGAAACAAAGAAGAGAGATATTGAATTGGCATGCATAAGACCTGACTACACAAATGGAATCAGCCTACAAACGGTGACTATAGAGGAACCTACTATGTGCCAGTGTGACGTAACACCTTGTCAGCGTAAGTTTCAAATTTCCTTTTTCCAATAGTAGCATAGAGTATCCTAAAAGATCATTTAAACATGTTTATTGTAGTAAAAACTACACTTTCGCTTTTTAATCATTTATTTGAAAGGTTTTTGTTTATAATCAGTAATGTTCAAGTTGTTAGGAATTGCTTCAAGTTCATTTTCACTGTGAATGTTTATTTTACTGATATTGTGTTTTCCTTTTCTTCCCTAGCTGGTACCTGAGAATAATGATCTGCAGCAAGACAGACAAGACAGGCGTTTTTTTCCCATTATGATTTTTGAAATTGAATCGAAACCGTATTATTTTGAATTTGTAGAATAAACAAATAAAGCATATTCAATAATTGCTCATTTGGCTTTGTTTCGATGTAGATATGTCACAATAAAAGAGCCCTAAATATACATTGCTGCACAATGTGCACAGAGTCCAACCAAGCGGTACGCAGTTGATGAGTGGTATTAAGGATATGCTCTTCTGAGGCATAAATCACGTTCAAATCTCGTTTTGATCTAGTGTAACATGATTCTATCAATTTTATCGAATTATAATAGATATTAAAAGCAAATATGCATCCGAAAAATGTATAAAAAATAGATACCTATTGGTAACATCAATAGTTTTAGCGGCCATTTTGAAAGTGTGAATTATCACCTTCCTTAACATTTTATTAACTTTTAAAATTGTCATTGCTTGACAATTATTCTTTTATTGTAGCAAGTTGATTTTTTGCTGTACAATCTTTGAATGTTCAGTATTATGAATATCATATGTAACATAGTTGAAAAATAACACAAAAACATCAACGCTGCAAACAAAAAAGGACAGTGACACCCCAAGTTGTCGACTGTTTTATGAAGCAAAACATCAATTTCTTTCAATTCTGAGAAAATTGAGAACTTTTCGTCATCAGAACATTTGATATCAATCGTTAAGTAAGCAAATATTGGCACAAAGGATAATTCGTTTATTAAAACGGTGTATGGGTTACCTTAACGGCTTCACTGAGATTTTTAGGTCCATAATTTTGAAGAAAAACTTATTTCTCAATCGACCTGGTAATGTAACAGGAAAAGGATATTATTCATAGTAGAATAGCATTTGATGATTTGCAGTTTAGAATTAAGATAACACCCTTTGTTTTGATGTAACACCCTGAATTATGCCGGTGAACGAGTGGAAACAATATTTATTAATGTACCAGGAAGTGAGCTGCAGTATTTCGTATTTTATTTAGGACTCAACACAACTGCATCATTTATTACATATAATTTCTTAGTTCCTGAGATACTAGCTTTAACATTCGAAGTTACATGCTTTTGACAATCGGAAGTGCACAAGTCAAACGGGAACATCCCCGACTGTTGACCCCATATAAATCCGCCATCACATGACAAAAACATGAGTCATAAAAGGTTATCAGATATTCATCTTAACTGATTAGCTGTCAATTATACAGACTTACATATATCTCGTCTTATACCCTGGGGTGCCGCGTCTTTACATCGAGTATAAGGGGGACAGTGGAGATGTAATGGCATACACAACTAATTGTCTGATTAAGCACACAACATAAACACATAAAATCAATAAATAAGATGTTGGTCAAGGTATTTGTTATGACAGGGGAAAAATCCAACAATTTACTAGAAAATGGAATAAAAGTTGAATGTAACCACAACATCTAAAGGTGACACATCCGAATATAGAACTCACATGTGCAACTTTTGTTATAACTTGTGCTGTGGTGTTATGGCGCTACTTACTGTTCATAGTCAAACTCAATTTGCTTTTACCGTTATGTAGAAGAAAACCGACGAGGCACGGAGTCAAACTCAACTAACTACAACTTATTCACAGACGGAAATGTTCCCAAATATTATATGTCCCTAGCCAAGAAAACTATATACGTGATTTAATATAGATAATTTCATAGAACTGCCTGGCTTAGAGAGCCCCCGCTCGAACAATAGAGTGTTTTCAAACAGGAGAGTTTTCATTATTTGTTTATTCTGTCAGTGACCGATAATTATATCTTAATTGTTATAATCCATCTTGATAACAACTTTTATTTTTCATCAAAATTTCATCGACAAATTAATTTGGAAAAAAAACATTTGTAAAAAGAGTAAAGGACAGGAACAGAAACAAGAAAATACAACCTCATTTCAAACAAAACACAAAGCACACAACAACATTGCATGTGCACACACAACACTATCATAACACTTAACAGCAAATACGGTCATAACTTTGAAATGGTTGAGATCCTAGCACATAGTCATTTATATTTAGACATTGACGGAAACAGTCATGTGATAATAGATACAACGTGACGGAAACAGTCACTTGGTAATAGACACAACGTGACGGGAACAGTCATGTGATAACAAACACAACGTGACGGGAACAATCGTGTGGCTATAGACACAACGTGACAGGAACAGTTATGTGATAACAGATACAATATGATATGGGCGGTCATGTGATAACAAACACAACGTGACAGAAACAATCATGTGATAACAGACACAACTTGATGGGAACAGTCATGTGATAACAGATACAATATGATATGGGCGGTCATGTGATAACAGATACACAGGGACGGGAACAGTCATGTGTCAATAGACACAACGTGACGGAATCAGTCATGTGATACAAAACACAACGTGACGAGAACAGTCATGTGATAAAAGATACAATATGATATGGGCGGTCATGTGATAACAGACAGAACATGATATGGGCAGTCATGTGATAACAAACACAACTTGACGGGAACAATCATGTGATAACAGACACAACGTGACGGGAACAGTCATGTGATAACAGACAGACAGTAACGGAAACAGTCATGTGATAATAGACAACGTGACGGGATAAGTCATGTTATAAAAGACAGACAGTGACGGAAACAGTCATGTGATAATAGACACACAGTGACGGGAACAGTTGTGTGATAACAGATACAACGTGACGGGAACAGTCATGTGAGCATAGACACAACAAGACGGGAACAGTCATGTGATAACAGACAACAAGATATGGGCAGTCATGTGATAACATACACATCGTGACGGGAACAGTCATGTGATAACAGACACAACGTGAATGGGAACAGTCATGTGATAAATAACACAATGTGACGAGAACGGTCATATGACACCACAGACAATGTCAATGGGAACAGTCATGTGATACAGTAACAGACACAACGTGACGGGAACTGTCATGTGATCATAGACACAACAAGACGGGAACAGTCATGTGATAACAGACAACAAGATATGGGCATTCATTTGATAACATACACATCGTGACGGGAACAGTCATTTGATAACAGACACAACGTGAATGGAAACAGTCATGTGATATAAGACACAACGAGACGGGAACAGGCATGTGACACCACAGACAATGTGAATGGGAACAGTCATGTGATAACAGGCACCCAGTGACGGGAACAGATACAATATGATATGGGCGGGGGTGTGATAACAGACATAACATGATATGGGCAGTCATGTGATAACAAACACAATGTGACGTGAACAATAATGTGATAACAGACACAACGAGACGGGAACAGGCATGTGACACCACAGACAATGTGAATGGGAACAGTCATGTGATAACAGGCACACAGTGACGGGAACAGATACAATATGATATGGGCGGCCATGTGATAACAGACATAACATGATATGGGCAGTCATGTGATAACAGACACAACGTGATGGAAACAGTCATGTGATAACCGGCACACAGTGACGGGAGCAGTTATGTGATAACAGATACAATATGATATGGGCGGCCATGTGATAACAGACATAACATGATATGGGCAGTCATGTGATAACAGACACAACGTGAAGGGAACAGACATGTTATAACAGACAGACAGTAACGGAAACAGTCAAGTGATAATAGACACAACGTGACGGGAACAGTCATGTGATAACAGATACATTATGATATGGGCGGTCATGTGATAACAGACAGAACATGATATAGGCAGTCATGTGATAACAAACACAACGTGACGGGAACAATCATGTGATAACATACCCACAGTGACGGGAACAGTCATTTGATAACAGACACAATGTTAATGGGAACAGTCATGTGATATAAGACACAACGAGACGGGAACAGTGATGTGACACCACAAACAATGTGAATGGGAACAGTCTTGTGATAACAGACACAACGTGACGGGAACAGTCATGCAGTAACAAAAAAATTGATATGGCCATCCATGTGATAACAGACACAACTTAACGTGAACAGTCATGTGATAACAGACAGACAGTCACGGAAACAGTCATGTGATAACAAACACAACGTGACGGGAACAATCATGTGATAATAGACACAACGTGACGGGAACAATCATGTAATAACAGGCACACAGTGACGGGAACAGTTATATAACAGACACAACGTGACGGGAACAGTCATGTGATAACAGGCACACAGTGACGGGAACAGTTATGTGATAACATATACAATATGATATGGGCGGCGATTTGATAACAGACAAAACATGATATGGACAATCATGTGATAACAGACACAACGTGACGGGAACAGTCATGCAGTAACAAAAAAATTGATATGGCCATCCATGTGATAACAGACACAACTTAACGGGAACAGTCATGTGATAACAGACAGACAGTAACGGAAACAGTCATGTGATAATAGACACAAGGTGACGTGAATAGTCATGTTATAACTGACGGGAACAGTCATGTTATAACAGACAGACAGTGACTGAAACAGTCATGTGATAACAAACACAACGTGACGAGAACAATCATGTGATAATAGACACAACGTTACGGGAACAACCATGTGATAACAGGCACACAGTGACTGGAACAATTATGTGATAACAGATACACTTTGATATGGGCGACCATGCTATAATAGATATAACATGATATGGGCAGTCATGTGTTAACAGACGCAACGTGACGGAAACACTCATGTGATAACAGGCACACAGTGACGGGAACTGTTATGTGATAACATATACAATATGATATGGGAGGCGATTTGATAACAGACAAAACATGATATGGACAATCATGTGATAACAGACACACCGTGACGGGAACAGTCATGTTATAACAGACAGACAGTGAAGGAAACAGACATGTGATAATAGACGCAATAAGACATGTGATACAAAACACAACGTGACGAGAACAGTCATGTGATAAAAGATACAATATGATATGGGCGGCCATGTGATCAGAGACATAACATGATATGGGCAGTCATGTGTTAACAGACGCAACGTGACGGAAACAGTCATGTGAGAACAGGCACACAGTGAG